TAATGAGAGAGAGAACAATGTTTAAGGGTAAACACTGGGTCGTTTTCTTATCATCAAAAAGGGAGCAGCACCACTGGGCCTTAAAATCCTCAACCGTTTTTCATACACACACAGACACACACTGCCGTGCAGTAAAGACACACACACTAACAGACAAACACATGAGCACGCATACACACAAATATTATATAATGTATCTGTACATATGAACAATAGGATATTCTTACAAAGACACAAGGCAAAAAAATAAAAAACCCTGCATTAGAAGAAAAATGCTGTGTGCGCACAGATTCTTGTAAAATTGCATCCTTTGGTTTGTCACTATGTGCTGAAAACATGCAGGGATTAGAGGGTTTGGAGGCCTCAGAGGGAGAGAGAGAAAGCCGAGAGGGAAAAGAGAGAGACAGAGGTAATGAGAAATAATTAGATAAGAAGACACAGAAAGACGAGAGACAGAGCAGGGACCGACGAGGGATAACGAGTCGGGAAGAGAGTGTGGTCGGAGCCGCATGTCTTGGCACAAAGAGGGATTTCCTTATTGGACAGTTTAGGCTTCAGGGACGTCAGCTCTCCATCAGTGAGACAGGTCATCGGGGGCGTTAGTGCGCTCTAGTGTTTGCAGTAAAGGGAGGGGCTGATCTTATCGGGAGACTATTAATTGAAGAAAAAAAACCAGCGAGATTCGTTGTGAGCTGTTGCTCCCTGAGGGACTGAGCTGGCTCGCTGTCACTTTGAGAAACAACCATTTTACAGAGTTAAATTCTATGTTGCCTTTTCTGTGGTTGATCTGTTGTCATGTTATTTCTATTTACAGACAAAACTCTTCAAATACACCCAGTATTGGCTCTAAAATGACGCATTTTTCCACAGTCAAGTTAAGGTTTTATTTCAAAGTGTTGTAAGTCCTGTCACACATTGGATAATATCATACTATCATCGTCAATCAAATTATGTTGCTCATCGTGACATAGAATATGCTCCTTTTGGATTATCTATGAAAAACATTTTAATCACACACAGGCCTGAAAATATTTCGGGCATCACACACTCTGCATCAGCAACAGAATTCCTACAAACTTTTATTTGGCTTCATTCGCTGTTTTTCACCGAGCGTCGACGTCAACAAATTCCTCAGCGGGGACGATGTTGACGTCGAGAGCTGTGTGTTTTGGTACGAGGAGCTCTTTTTATGTTTCCGGGCCGCTTGGTGTTGCTGATAACTCGGCTTGCTGGCATAGTTTTGTATGTGAACGTTCAAAAGAAACAGTCGGTTTCAACAGCACAGATTTGTGTGGCCATCATGGAAATTAAGGAAAATAAAATCATAACCCTGCTGTGACTGAAACAATGCTGAGAGCGGTGAGGGTGAAGCAGAACAGTAAAGCTGCTGGCTGGGAATACAATAATGAGCTGAATGATGCCGAAACGCTCCGTGGAGATTAATGGAACAATGTTCTGTGGGTTTGGCACTATCAGTGACACCTCTCACATGTTTGTAATATAATATAACATCATATAAAATAATAATAATAATAAAGAAAATATGCTACAAAACACTGGAGCAGTACTTCAACATTCCAAGTCCAAGGTCAGATCATGGCTAAGATAGTTAATATTTAAGACAAAAAAATATTGATTAATGCCACTGAGATAATGAAAAGATCTCACAAGCATAGAAGTCGACAGCGTCCTGTGTGTGTGTGTGTGTGTGTGTGTGTGTGTGTGTGTGGGTGTGTGTGTGTGTGCCATCAGCTATTAATCATCCTTCCATTTTTGTGAACTTGGTTACAGAATCAAGGTCTGGGAAAGTGCAGCATTCCTACACACACCCACACGCACACACTACATGAGAACAACCCTGTCATCCTGAAGGCTAATTGTTTACATGTGGTTTGGATTCGGTTCTCTAATTAAGAATGTGATTCACACTCCATACGGTTGACTCCATAGTGGGAACCACACCACAAAAACACCCGTGTTCTCTGCTGCTTTTACAGCGCTGGAAGTACCGTACGTCTTCAAAAACAGCAGAAGTAGCATAAACTGCCCACATGTGTCAATGACAAATCCGTCAACGGCAACTTCAGCAAATAAAGTGTTTACCTAACCTCTGCTCTGAACCACATTAATTTACTGTAGAACATGAGTGTCATAATTGGCCCAGTAAGTGCTGTGGAAGTGGCTGCGCTGCCTGTGTTTCCTGGTATTTAATGGGAATCCGGGCACAGACAAAGCTTTTTCTTGGGAAAGCAGTAAAGCACGCAACAAACAGTGGTGACAACCACAGTCATATACTATGTGATGTTTCTGTTTGTTTTCACGATTTCATTTTGCAGAAAGTGAGTCAGACGATATATTAACAATCATCGAATGATCCTCACCAGGAATCAATTAGAGTCATGTTCGACTTTGCTGCAGCACTTAATCTGCTGGCCTCACAAGCAGGCGAACATGAGCATTGGTGGTCTGTGCTTTCACAAATACCTAAAATAGAGTCCAACAGTAAAAATGTGATATTCAACGACTGAAAAACTGAAATGACAAAGCGGAGTACTGAAAAATTAAAAGAGAGCAATAACAGTTAAAAGTCACTACAGCAACTTTTCTTTGCCCAAAAGACGCTGAAAGAAATGTTTGCCACTATTTCACCTTTCATTAGTGAGTGAAAGTGGGCCTGAAATGGAACCCTGAAGCAAACCTTTGTTATCAACCCTAAAAGTTCACATGTCACATTCACAACAGCCAAATACCAATTGTAAGACAAACACAAGAAATCCCAGGAGTTTTAAAAATAAATTGATGGTTGACGGTACTGACAACATTAGATAAATCAATAATAAATGGAAACCCAAATTCTATGTGATATTAACTGGCAAACACATTTAAGGCTTTTGCAGCTGCTGTCTCAGAAATAAGCCAAGCTCTTAATTCTGATTGATAAAAAAATAGGTTTGACTTTTGATAGTTTGTGATTGCTTAGAAATAAGGAGGCCTTTTCCAGTGAGAAGGTTTTAAAATAAAAAGCAGTATATTGTCATATATGGTCCCCTTTAATTCTGACCTTGATGTGAAAAATCACTGGGCACATATGCCAAAAATAATCTAGATACCTTTACTATCGCCAGGCTAGCCTATAATACAACATATTATATAACCTCAGTGTAGATTTACTAAAACAGAGCAGAGTAGTAAACACAATTTGTGTAACAACATAAAATGAACCAACCATGAATATAAATCTGTGCTGTCTAGTCTGCACTATGCAGTTTTCATGACATTTTCAACTGTTGTAAGATCCTTACTCTGTTCTCAGCCAAGTGGAATGCTGGGATATATCGCCAGATCAAGTCAGTCTCAGTGCACAATAGACAAGAGGCAGGTAGGTCTATCACATGGCCAGAAGGAAAAAAACATTTTTCTGGGGTCAAAAAACAGCTTGTTCCTTTTTGATTGAAAGCACATATCCTGAACCTGGATGAGAGCAGTGGAATTAAGATATCAGGTTCATCCAGTTTGTCATTCCTGCATGAATTTGTCCACTCTGAAATCCCTCTGGAAGAAAATGTAAAATGAGGGGAGCTGGATGTGTCGATGACGTTGGTCTGGAGGTGGAGAGCTCAGAAGAGGAGGAGTCATACTCCCCATGTGAATAAGTACGTTTAAGCTGCTGGTGTCATCCATGAGGACTCTGTATATATGATGGTTGACCAGGTTCATAAACCCCCTCCTCCCTCAATTCCTACAGGAACCTCACCCGGCAGTGTCTCTAACACCTTCTCAATTCTCTCGTGGATGGTCGAACAAAGCTGGGATGCTGTTAGTGCTGTAATGTACTATTGGAATTATCTCAGAAATATAAAAAACAGGAGCGAAAACTCAATTTAGTTATTTGTGAATGTCATGGTGCAGCACAGCAGGAAGGTTCCAGGAAGGTGTTGTGGTTGTTTGTCTCTGTTGGCCCTGTGATTCTCTGGTGACTTGTTCAGGGTGTATCCTGCCTCTCACCCCTACCCCCACCCCCCGCAAATCTGTACTGATGAGCGGTATAAATAACCTTAACAACTCTAGTTTTTCAGTTTAATAGTGAACCTTTAGATAGTTTCCATTGTTCCTGGTCTTTTTTAAATAAGTAGAGAAGCAATTGTCGATTGTGTAGTTTTGATAGCGGTTACACTAATGACCAAGTTCTACAATATCAGAAAAACAATTGGATCAAAAACAAATATATAAAGTAACAACTTATCCAGCAACAGATGGCTAATATTTCACTTTGGCACTGTACTGACACATTGAACTACCTCTTCAAACCTGATATGTTAGTCTGGGTCACTCATTTAATCTATTCATCATCAATGCAGACAAGAATTGGCATCTGAAATTTTGAGAAAGTATGAACTTGGTACCTGAATGAAACCTGAGATACACATTTGTCATCCCTGTGAAAAGACAATGTTTCTTAAACAAATTCTGCCATTTGTTTGAC